AGGGACTCAGGGCGGCTCACAACCAGGTCGGGGGGGGGGGGGGGCAGGGGGCGTTTTCCTCGAACTTCGAAATTGGGTGTGTTCAGGAAAGCGGAAGGGCCAATGGGAGTCCTCCCTTCTGGAGCGTCATCGGTCTCCGGCCAGAGTCTCCCTTGACTTCACCCGATTGAGGAGATAGTTCCGCGCAGAGAGAGAAGCGGAGAAAGTGGCGGCCTGGGGATTTCCTTTCAGTCTTCAGGGGCTGCGGCTGGGGGGGGGGCATTCCAGCCCTGGAGGGCAGTATGGACTCCCCTCCCCCGATCCGGCATGGAGCGGGGCTGCAATGGATGAGAGAAGGGGAGGTGCAGCCCCCAGCCAGCGAGGGCTTGCGGGGTCTCTGGGCCTGTCCATTGGGGGACATCCTCGGGCGCCTTCACACACACACGCACGTACATATTTCTTCGGTGGGAGTGTCCCTCCTTTAACATGCGGGGTCATTGTCCCCCGTCCCCACCGGAACCTTCTGCCTTTTGCTCCCTTTCCTGGCAAAGGGGTTGCCGGAGGGCCGCTTTTACCCCCACATTTGCGCTGTGGGGTTTTCTGACCCACCGCAAACGGCAGCTCGTGTTTTGGTTCAAGAATGGCTGTTGTTGATCTCAATTGGGGGGGGGGAGATAAGAGTGGAAGAAACGGGAATCCCTGGCTGAGAATCGTGAGGAGAGCAAAGAAAGTGGGGGGCGGGGTTGTCACTTCTAGGGTGTCACTTCATGAAGTCCCTACTTGACCTACACGGATTCCCGCTCCCACTTTCTCCGCGGAACGAACTCTCTTCCATCGGGTAGTCACAAAGGACTCTGCCCGGAGACTGATGACGCTCAAGCAGGGAGACATTCCATTGGTGCTGCCGCTCGTTCTGGCTCCTCCCCACTCCAAAGTCCGGAAAAAAGGCTCCTCCCCCCCCTCAATTCAGACCCCGGTAGTTCCCCTGGGGCTGGAAGCGCGCACCGTTCCTTTCGCATGTGAAGATTTCTGCCCTGGGAAGAGTTACTGCGCTGGACTGAAATGGTATTTAGCTTCTCCTATGCCTGACCAGAGGGCTGGACTAGATGACCTCCAAGGTCCCTTCCAGCTCTGTTCTCTTCCAACTGCAGGCCGTTCTTGGTTGTGCCGGTCAATAAACCTCCTTTCCTAAGCAGCCTCCATTTTACTCCCTTCTTGGAACTGGACCNCCATCTGGAGTTGCTCTGCAGGACAGAGAAAGGATGGAGACACAACCTTTTGCCAAGGAGGGAAGCAGAAAAGGCCCTTCAGCTGCTCAGCCTGGGAACAGGGGGAAGCTCTGGACAAGGACTGGGCAGAAGATCCTGGAGGAGGAAACCATCCTCCCTTCAGAAGTTCAGCCCTGGAACTCCATACAATACCAGGAGGCTGAGGGTCCTCGCGGACTTTGCAGCCGACTCCATGACATTTGCAGACGATGGCTGAGACCAGAGAAACACACCAAAGCCCAGATGCTGGACCTGGTGGTTCTGGAGCAGCTCCTGTTCCTTCTGCCCCCAGAGATGGAGGGCTGGGTGCGGGAGTGTGGAGCAGAGACCAGCTCCCAGGTGGTGGCTCTAGCGGAAGGCTTCCTCCTGAGCCAGGCAGAGGAGGAGAAAGAGCTGATCCAGTTTCCGGTGAGCAACTTTAGGGAGCTCAGAAGGGAATAGAGCAGTGGGTCTCAACCTTCCTAATGCTGTGACCATTTAATACAGTGCCTCATGTTGTGGTGACCCCCAACCATAAAATTGTTTTATGGTTTCTGTATTTTTTCAATAATACATTTTTTCCGATAGTCTTAGGCGACTCCCTGTGAAAGGGGTCCCGACCCACAGGTTGAGAACCGCTGGAATAGAGGATGTGTCTGAATACTTCACCCCTCCTTCCGAAACTTCTCTGCCCTTCATAATATGTGGCAATTCACCAATTCTTGTAGGACATTGTTGGATTGTTTTCTCACTCAGCCTCATGGATATTGGGGGCTTTGAGGTTGTGTTCCAAATATAAGAATCCACTTTATTTTGTGTGATGTACATTAATTCTGTTTCTTTTTTCCTTCCTCCTATTTGAAGTGCTGCACTGTGGAGATCAAAGATCCTGAGGGAAGGAAGAGCCCATCAAATCCCCCCCAGGAGCGATTTTTCATGAGTACCCCTTCGGAAGATCAAAGTCAGGACACCTCAGGAGGTACCATGTTTCCCTGAAAATAAGACAGGGTCTTATTTTCTTTTGACCCCTGAAATAAATGCTTGATTTTATTTTTGAGGTGCAGGCGATGGCAAGAGTGGTCACCTCATGGCTGGGGAGAGGAGGGCTTATTATCCAGGGAGGTCTTGTTTTCAGAGAAATGGTAATGGAAGATCCTCTGATTACCCATCTGTCTTACCTTCACTTTCTCTTCTATAGAATACCTCCTCCTATTTTGTTAAATTTTGCATTTTGAAATTATTTATTCTTTACAGAGAAACAAAGAATGACGCTTTCTGGTTTTTATGACAGAGCTCAAACAGCGGTTGAACCTCCAAATCAAGTAAGAAAGGGAAAATATATTAGAATTATATTCCCCCTTCAGGAAGTGAAGCAAGTGTCCAGAGTGCTCTCTCCTTCTATTTTCCACCCTTGTTTGGACTAGATTATTTTTGTGTTCTTCCACAACATGGACGTTCCTCTGGTTATCTTGTTTTGCTAGGTACTCCTCCAACTTTGAGTTTACAAGAAGCAATTTTTTAAAAGTCCTTCAAGAAATAGGAATAGACATATCACAGTGGTAGGAACTGTTAAAAATCCTTTTTTTGGGGGGTGGGGGTAATACTTTGACATGGAGTTGTGCAAGACTAATGAAAAATAAATAAATACACTGCCACGTTACCATTTTTAAAAACCCTTATTTATAACCTGTAGTTCAAAAACAAACAAATCATATTAAAAAATAAATCAGACTCTTGAAATCCAAAGGGAGTGGTCGTATTGAGCATGTAATCACGGTACTTTGGGCTACAAAATAATTTGCAATCCTTTGATTTACCCCTTGATTAGGATATCCAACTTTCCCACTTTACAAAGGCTGAAAAATGACTTTCCCAGGGAGCAATGGAACAAAATAACAGAGTTGGTAGGGATGTTGGAGGTCTTCTAGTCCAGCGCCGGCTCAGACAGGAAGCCCTGTAACATTTCAGATAAATTGCTGCCCAATTTCTTCATAAACACCCCCAGTGTTGGAGCACCGACAATTTCTGGTGGCAAGTCATTCCACTGATTGATTGTTCTCACTGTCAGAAAATTTCTCTTTACTTGTAGGTTGGTTCTCTCCTTGAATACTTTCCATCCATTTCTTCTTGAAAAACTGCTATCATGTCACCCCCTAGTCCTTCTTTTCATGACAATAGACATACCCAGTTCCAGCAACTACATTTCTCACTGTCAATTTCATTTTGTTAAATGGGGCCCAATCTGTTGATCCTTCTATATCTGGAGCATATCTTCTGTAGTGTTGACATTCCTGTCAATTTATGCTTCTGCAAATTTGAGGAGTTCTCTTTCTATCCTCTTGGTTAAATCACTGAAGAAGATAAACAGATCTTGTGAATCCATTGTTCTTTTTTCCATGTTCAGGAGAGTCTTGTATCCTTCGAAGAAGTGGCTGTGTATTTCTCTGAGGGGGAGTGGTCTCAGCTGGATCCTGACAAGAAAGTGCTGCATTTGGAAGTCATGCTTGAAAACCATAGGAACGTGGTCTCTCTGGGTAAGAGTTTTCTAGTCCCCAATCAGAGAGTTCAAGGAAACAGATTATAGTTAATTTTTTATTTAAAAAAATCAGTCATCTGATATCATCTCCTGGGGGGAAGAAGGAAAGGATCTTCTCCTACTCCAAGGAAGGAAAAGAGTTGATGTCTCTTTGCTTAGATGCTTTCTGTGCCATTTCTTCTCTGTATTTTTCCATTTCTTTTTTAACTTATTTATTTGTGGAGACTGAAAAGAATGAGGTATATTTTTATGTGTCCTCTGGAGGTCATGTGAGAGGAGTATTTTGTCATTTGTCCTCTGAAACCTCTAAACTTGTGTGAGAACAAAACTTTCACACTCAGGCCATGGAAGAGTATTCTCCCAATTCAAGAACAAAGGCCCTGTGCAGTATGACTCAGAGCATCCTAGGGTAAGGTAATCTCCGAGTTACGACAGCGACTGTTCAAAGTTACGACCAGCCCTCCCTCAAGTACTTGAGACCCAGTTCCGAAATTATGAGTGTTGCAACACCACAGCCATTGTTCACACTTGCAAATGACAACAGAGCCCCTGCAAAATTCGCCCTACCTATTCCTCCACACCACCCTGCCAGGACTTACCTTATTTTTCAGACTATAAGACAAACTCTCCCCCCCCCTCCAAAAATGGGTGGAAATATCTCTGCGTCTTATAGAGCAAAAAGGGGCTTGTTTTTGGCCTCCTAAACCCTCTGTGCGTCCTGCTTTTGGCCCCCGGAGGCCTCTGCGGGTACTATTTTTGCCCTCCCCGACGTGGGGGAGGCTGAAAACATGACATGCAGAGAGTTTGGCAAGCCAGAAAGGACCATGTCTGGCTCTGAAGGCAGCTGATAATTGGCATATGGCTCTGGCTCTCTCTCTCTGCCTCCGACACAGAGCCCTCATCCGAGCCTTCCCCAGACTCCAAGATTGACCCATGTTCCTCCCTAACCTCTTCACTGTCCGAATCTGGTGCCAGCTCCATTGGCCACTGGCAGGCCACAACAATCACGTGAAGTGTTAATACCACTTTATAATGCCTTGGTAAGACCACAATTGGAATACTACATCCAATTTCAGTCGCCATGATGTAAAAAAGATCTTGAGACTCTAGAAGAGTGCAGAGAAGAGCAACAAAGATGATTAGGGGACTGGAGACTGGGTATGTCTAGTTTAATGAAAAGAAGGACTAGGGGAGACATGATAGCAGTCTTCCAATATCTCAGGGGTTGCCACAAAGAAGAGGGAGTCATGCTATTCTCGAAAGCACTTGAGGGTAGGACAGGAAGCAAAGGGTGCAAACTAATCAAGGAGAGAAGCAACTTAGAACTAAGCAGAAATTCTGACAGTTAGTACAATTAATGAGTAGAATAACTTGCCTCCAGTGTAAATTTTTAAGATGTTGGATAACCATTTGTCTGAAATGGTGTAGGGTTTCCTGCCTAAGCAGGGGGTTGGACTAAAGACCTCCAAGGACCCTTCCAACTCTCTTATTCTATTCCTTAACTCAAACTGACTCTGAGTGAGATTTGCATATATAGATTTTATTGTTGTTACGTGCAAAGTCGTGTCCGACCCATCGCGACCCCATGGACAACGTTCCTCCAGGCCTTTCTGTCCTCTACCATCTTCTGTAGTCCATTCAAGCTCACGCCT